CGTCTTTGCGGAGCCCTCCGCGCCCCTGGAGGAGTCCTATGCCATAGGGGCCACGCTGAAATACAAGTGCCGCCCGGGGTACACGCTCGCCAGGGGCAAGTCCCCCGTGATCACCTGCCTCCCCAGCTCCCTCTCGTCGGAGAACCCCGACTTCTGCATCGGTGGGTTTCCCCCGTGGTGGGCTCCTGGGATGGGGGGGGAGGGCGCATCCCCTGCTGCACCCCAGACCCCACTTGCGGTTCAGCACAGTTGAGAAGGGTGCTCCCTGGGTTACTGTTTTTAGCGCAGCTGAGTACAAGCCCTCACCCTGCATGCCTGCCTGGGGTTGCCCTTTCCACGTTAATCTCTGGGAGATGATCTCTGCCCTTCTTAATTGCTTTACCCCCTGGTGATACAGTATAAATGCTATAATATATTTGCACGGAAACAAGGTACAGTGTGGAAAAGGCCATGGGAGTCTGTTGTCCCCATGGTAATGCACCTGTACTGGCCCTAGGGCGGTCAGTGGGTCCCTCCATGTCCCCTTCTCCTTCGTGCTGTTTCCCTACGGACCAAGACCTCTGCCCTGAGCCCACTGGTCTCTTTATCAGTTTCCTTTCTCAGTAAGCGTATAAACCTTGGCTTTTTTTATTTGTCCTTAGCTTTATTTGTGCTTTTAGTCACTATTTGTGTTTTAACTTTCAGTTCCTCAGAAGTTAATGTGGGTCTTGTATCTGTTCTGAAAGTGCTGGTACTTGCTCACGAGGGAAGTTAGGTGCCCAATAAATGGTCGATTAGTCTGTAATGACACTGAACAGCAGTGTCACTATCTTACAGCATGATAGTGAAACTATGCGTTTCACTATCATGCTATAAAATAAAGCTAATGCTGATCACTTGCCCTTCCAGGAAAGTCGTGCAGTCCACCGGACATCATGAATGGCAACTTTAACTACACGACCAACCTCCAGTTCGGGGCGACAATAACCTACAGCTGTAACACGGGGTAAGCGTTGGGCCAGGCTCCTGGTGAGTCGACGGAGCTGAGGCTGGGAGACAGCACCCGCAGGAGACTTGGAGGCTTTTAATATCTGGTGGCTGTTTCCTTGGCAGGCGGAGGCACGGCTAGAGGTGTTTGGCGCGGGGAGCCATGGGGGTCACGCTCTCTCCTGCTCTTGCTGTCAAAACAGATTATCCTCTGGGCATGAGAGCGTGGTCCTTGCAGGTTGCTTTTCGGCTGCTTTGCAAAGAATTTTGTTCCTTTCCTGTCGGTGCTCGTTAGTAATTCAGCGTTTGCTGTTGTGCAATGGGTCCGGCTGTCCACGCCTTAGCTAACAAGGGGTCTTGGGGAAGGAGGACTGCGGTGTCCTGGGGATGCCAGGAGCAGAGCGAGAGGGAAAGAGAACGGTTAAGGTATGTCAGTGACACCTAGCTCTGCTCAGAAAATAAGTTGCTATTTGGATCTACCGCTGCACAGCACGGGGCTGAACAGACTCAGGGTGGGGATGCCGCCTTGCTTGCGCTCCTGTGAGGTTGTGTCCACCCGCTGCAGGTATTAAATTTCCTCTAACTGCATCATATATTGTATTTCTTTAGGTATTGAGAAAATTGTATTTTATAGGAGGGCTGGCTGTTTTTCCCTTAGGGTTCAGCTCCTCCAGAGAATACCATTAGAAACTGTAAAACTTTCTGAATTTCCCAAGTTGGGGTTTTTTTTTTTTCCCCACTTTTTTCAGAGATTCAACCTTTTCTTTTCTTAGGTACCGATTAGTTGGGAAGCCATCTGCACAATGTGTACTTAAAGACAATGAAGTTGCTTGGGATAGCATTCCATACTGTGAGAGTAAGCAGATCTTAAATGTTTTGTGTACATCTCTTCCTCGAAGCTATTACACTGGATCTGGTAGTTTGGGGAACGGCAGGTGGATACTCTCTTCTTGGCACCGAATGCAAATTCCATTATCCCTTAAAGAGACTGACTCCTTACGCCTCCCCCAAACAAGCACTCTCGGTGGAGCTGGGAATGAAAATTAAATACTAAAGGGGATCTGTGGATGTTGGCAGCAGCTCTGTAGTCAGATCTGCGAGAAAAGCAGGTCCCGAGGCTGCTGGTTGGTATTGCCCGGCACGGGCGCGCAGCAAGCTTTCTGCCAGGCTGGTGCCGACGCTGCATCACTTGTGCTGTGTTTTCCGTCAGGCAACCGTTGCTGAATTGTTTATCAAGAGCTGTGCTTGGCCGGGACTGGGATGCCTTCAGACATGACTGCACATCCAAAATCTCAATTTTCAAAGGGGAAAGAAAGGCTAAGAGTTTTGTTGGTGCTATTTGCGCTTTTTTAGTATCCTGCGGCCTGACCATCAGCTGCTGATAGTTTAGATGGTTTGCTGCTATAATAGGTGTTCTGGCCTCGTCCTTGTTAGCACGATGAAGGTAGGAAATGCTATCACCAGTAGGTGAGGGTCCCAAACTGCTTGGTGAGACCATGTTTATTGCCTCCAGAAGGTCTTTTGTGCAGTGTCTCCTCTCGGACAATAGATGCTGTTTTGCCGTTTTACCATGTATCCATTTAAAAATACCCTGGAAAACATTCAGAATTTAAAGGCACATTCAAGACTTTAGGTTGAGATTAGGTTGAGCAGCTTTAGGGCTGCTTCCCTGCTTTTTCTTTGGCTTTTTTGTTTGTTTGTTTGGGTTGTTTTTTTGGTTTGGTTTGTTTTTTTAGTAGCTAGACCTCAGTTTCATATTTGATGGAAATGTTCGTGCGTTTTCTCGCTGTTGCTTTCCCATGCAGGTATTCCCTGTTTACCACCACCTGTGATCGAGAACGGGCAGCTCATCGGTGGGGACAGAGACTTCACCTTTGGCATGGCTGTAACCTACACCTGTAACAAAGGTTTTGATCTTATTGGAGATGCCACAATTCACTGCACGATGAACGATAACTTCGATGGAATATGGAGCGGTCCAGCCCCTGAATGCAAAAGTACATGCTTTCTTTCTCTCCTTATTCTTTTGACTTTGTTTCTCATCCCTCTCTCGATCTGTACTTTCCCGATGGGCTGCCAAACATGAGAAAGTTGATTTGAGTCTAAAAGGATTCCCAGAAAGCTTAATGCAGTGATCTCCCAAGTCGTGGTCTGAGGCAGGGCTTGGTTTAATCGATTCTTCAGCCCACAGAAAGCCTCCCTCTCCCTGCTCATGCCCGGGGCTTCCTGCAAATGAAGAATGAAGCTCTCACGTGTGTCTTAATGACGTCTCTGTTCGTGGAGTACTTGCACCCCACTGGGGACCTGCCTCTCTCAAGAGTGAAAAGAGGCAGTTCTCTTAAGTAAGCTTCTTGCGTAATGCCTCTGGTGTCACTGCAAGGCTTTTCCTTCTTGTAATAAACTTTTTGTCTTATCTTCACTTCCAGTGGTCAGATGTAAAAATCCGGAAGTGAAAAATGGGAGAAAGCTATCTGGCTTTGGCACTGAGCACAGGTATAAAGATACGGTGACCTTTGAGTGTAATCCTGGTCACTTATTGAATGGTAGCAGTGTAGTTACTTGTGAAGCAGACAATAACTGGAAGCCACCTCTGCCAACATGTGACCCAAGTGAGTACAAATTAATTTATTTCCTTGAGCAATGGCACTGAAGTAGGTCTAAGAGCTGTTGGGCAGATGTCGTGGTTTAACCTCAGTCGGCAACTGAGCACCACACAGCTGCTCGCTCACTCCCCCCCACCTGGTGGGATGGGGAGAGAATTGGAAGAGCACAAGTGAGAAAAACTCGTGGTTGAGATAAAAACAGTTTAATAATTGAAATAAAATGATAATAATAATATGATAATAATAATAATACACAAAGCAAGTGATGCACAGTACAATTGCTCACCACCCGCTGACCGATGCTGGTTGGTATGGAATGTCCCTTTGGTTTGGCTGTGCCCCCTCCCATTGTGCCCCTCATGACGTCCCATGGTATGGAATGTCCCTTTGGCCAGTTTGGCTGTGCCCCCTCCCAGCTTCTTGTGCACCTCCAGCCTTCTCAGTCGGTAGAGCATGGGAAGCTGAAAAGTCCTTGACTAGTGTAAGCATTACCTAGCAACAACTAAAACATCGGTGTGTTATCAACTTTGTTCTCATGCTAAATCCAAAACACAGCACTGTACCAGCTACTAGGAAGGAAATTAACTCTATCCCTGCCGAAACCAGGACAGCCGATCAGCTTCCGAACTTCGTGCACTTGTAGCCATAACCTTGCAGAGCATGCTGGCTTGGGTCCTCGGCGTGGCAGCCCAGGCCAGTTATATATTTAGACCTGAAGCTATTTATTTGTGATGCAAATGACCCAAATGTGCACTGAAAGAAGAGACAAAGCTGCCTTCTACACCTGACAGGCTTGCTTCACCAGCTTCCAGACCTGCTGGGGATGTTTGGCTTCTGAGCTCAGCTGGTCCTGCAGGCTGGGTTGGTGGTCAGTGAAGGAGCATCTTTGACGCAGAGATGCTACGCAATCTCCATCTTTTCTCTGGTTAAGCAAACTGTGGTATATGCTGCTGTTTGCTAAATGGGTTGGATGCAAACTGTATCCCAGACATTGACATTCAGACAGGTTAAAATGTTGTGTGCACTCCAAAACAGGCCGTTCGCTGCTGTTATTGCAGACCCTTTGGGTACTCTTCTGTAGCTAACCTTGCTTTTGTCTCCAATTGTTAGTCTACTGTGGTCCTGCTCCACACTTCCCTTTCGCTGAGTTAACAACGGCTGTGGGTGACAGCTCTCTCGCTGGAACTAAGCTGATGTATCGGTGTAAACCGGGTTATACTGCAGCAAGTGGAAAGTCCTCTGTTGTCACTTGTCTGAGTAATACAACTTGGTCTGCAGACCCAGACTTCTGTATACGTGAGTATCTCTGTTCCCCTCCTGTCTTGACTGACTGTACAAGTGATCTGTACGCGCTTGAGATGTTACTCTGGGTTCATGCCCATCTCTGGGTTTGCAGTAATTCCTGCACTGCTTTCTTTTCTTCTAGGACAGCAATGTACTCCACCCACAATAGAGAACGGGGATGTGATTGCAGACAATTTCCTGTTTGAGACAGTTGTGACATTCACCTGTCATCCCGGGTGAGTGGATCACTGCTTAAAAGGGACCGACTCGGGGGTCAGAAGGCAGGGGTCACAGGCAGTAACATCCACCACCCCCCTCCCTCCCTGGTTTCCCAGTGCGAATCTCCAGTGAAACCGTGTATTATGTCCTCAGTGAGATGAGCATGTGGCAACATGCGTGTGCTTGGTAATGCAGCGAACTGCTTCAGCTGGGCTCTTATTAGTGCCCTTATTTAGTGGCGTGGATGTGGCCAGATCTCATTTCATAGCAGGGGCAACTTCTGGTTAATAACTTGCTTGCATGCAGTGGTGGGGAGGCGGGGGAGGAACCGTTTCTGGGTTGTCTTCTGGAAAGTACTAAACTTCTCTTTCTTTAGGTATGAATTAAAGGGGTCATCTTCTGCCAAATGTGTGGTATCAGGAAATGGAGTTGATTGGGATACAGCATCTCCGTACTGTGAAAGTAAGAGGGAAAAACTCCGCACAGAGCCGTTAAGATAATAGTTGGAACTGCGCTGGTGTAGTTGCCTTGCTGGTGGGCTTTGGGCTGCTCTTACTTGCGCTTCTTAATTCAATCAACTGTAAAATTCATTATTTCAGTACTAACTCATGCTGTGAGGCCTTAGGTGCAATATTCTCATACAACTCAGAAATTATGCTGACAAAGTGGAAGGAGCGAGGGAAGAGCAGAAACGGTCACAGGAGGAAAGTTTTCTCTCTCTAGTTACCAGGGAAAGATGAAGATAATTGGATGTTAGAACTTTGTCCGCTCAATTTGGTATAATGCTGAAATCAGGTGTTATGAAGTCAGTGTATAGTGTTATGTGAAGCTAGAAATGGCTGAAACATTTCTTCTAGCCTGATTAGGCACTTCTGTGGCTTATTTCATGGGGTGAGGTCCTGGAGTTGTGGCTAACGGGCAGTAACTGAGGTCCAGTACCAAGCAAGAAAGCTCAAAGTGTTTTCAGTTGCTGCTGAAATGGCGTTTGGCTGTACCTCCTTCTCCCCATATACCTCTCCACCTTTTCAGTTAGGAGAAGTACTCAGACACTCTTGCTATTCCTTCCATAGGACAGCCTTCTCACATTCTCTGTGAAGAGCCCCCCACGGTTGAAAATGGGATCCACAACGGCACAAAGGGCACAGACTTTGTCTACGGCTCCACTGTAGCTTATAAATGCAATGATGGCTTCACCCTTGTTGGACCGGCCATTCTTCAGTGTATTGCAGGAGATCAACACCAGGGAGTCTGGAGCAAGCCCACTCCTGAATGCAGAGGTGCCTATCATCTCCTGTGTCTTTCTTGCTGCCTCCTCTCTGTCTTCAAAATACCTATTTTTTCCTTCCTCTGTGAATCCTCAAATCGGATAATTCTGCTAAGGAGTAAGCCTTTGATGCTTCCTGAAAGAGCTTCAGTTAAAATCTAGAATCATAGAATCATTAAGGTTGGGAAAGACCTCTAAGATCATCGAGTCCA